ATTGAAAAGAAACAAAACAGAATTTTGCTTTTTTTAGTTTGGATTTGCGATGCAATGGCCTCAGATCCCTCTCCAGAGCCCTAGGGGTTTTTTGTCTTATTTATAGAGGAAAAAACGGTCATTTTGTCCAACGCACTGTGAGGACCCCACTCAGGCCCGGCCCTGGCCCTCCCTTGGTACTTGGAACCGAAGTTACAGATATATATTAAGAAAATTAATAATGTACAAAACTTTTTTTGCCTTATTATGCAGAAGTGTAAAAGGGTTTCTTTTTCAGTTTTTTTAAAGTGTAAATAGTCTGTTAATATAAATATATGACGTTATTAAATTCTTAATCTAGGTAGACTTTATAAAAACAGTTTCTAGAAACTACTCTGGTTATTTGCTCAACATGGTCACAAAAGCCGCCGGCTGTCAGTTGGAAATGCCCGCAGACGTGCACCTGCAACGTCCTTCAACTATGCAAGCGCTGGGCGGCGGGCACCTGCCCCTCGTGCTGACTGCGGCAACCCGGAACCTACACCAGATGGGTGGAACCCTGGAAGCAAAGAGGCCAAAACGGCTAATCACGAAAGGACACCTGTTCTCCACGGAGGCCAGCGGAAGACGTCTGTGTCACGTGCTCCCACCAGCCGGGGCCTCAGCACAATGTCCTTTTGGTTTCAGTTTTGCCCTCATCACTTGTGAATGTCACCGGGCCCCGTTGTCAGTGTCCCTCGTTTCCCGATGTCTACACCTGTGTCCTCGGCATCTGAGCCTCAGTTCAGCCAGCTGCACCTCTTTGCTTTGCTCGATTCTGTATTTTCAACCCCTTTTCCACTGTCAACTCCAGTTACTTTAAGCATCCTGTTCACCCGTCAACCAATGAAGATAAATACAGCCTTGATTTTGGAGGAAAAGCTGGTTGAGTGTTTTGTGGGGCTTTGTGGCAGGTGGAGGTCAGGCACACACCCTTGGTTCCTTCCCTCATCCTTTGCTGGTGACCAGCGACTACCTCCCAGGGCTGCGTCCCCCAAAATTCGCGGGTAGCCGTGGGCAAATTGCTGTTTTCCTGCTGAAAAGGGAAATTTCAGGGTCTGTGGAGGAGGCCCCCGCCGCCCCATCCCCGACCGGTCAGGGGAGCATTGGGAGACTCCCGCGGCCGTCACCGGCTGGCGGCCTGCAGTGCCACCTGGCGGCCACTGGGGGCGGTGCTGGGCGGAGCTGCACCTTCCTTTGTTGAGACGTTCCTCCCTCGCACCAGGTGCCAGGCGGTTTGGCGGCGCAGTGGGTGCATCAAAGAGAAAATCGGGGCAAGCGGCCCGCCCGGTGGGCCCGCCGTCCCATGGCCCTGGTGCATGAGGACAAGGAAGGGGTGGTACTGGGCACGGAATAATGTTGCCGCTGATCTGAAAGGGATGTTGTTTTATTGTGCTTTCTCCCTGGTTACTGGTGACGTGGAGAAAAGCCAGTGGTTCTCCTCGGCTGATGTTGTGTCTGGAAACCGCAACAGTTTTACCATTTGTTGATACTGGTTTTTCTGAGAAAATCATTTCATCATGATCAAATAACAGCCGTTTCATCTTTTTTACATTTATTTCCAATACATTACACCTCTTACGGAGTTGTTTTTTTTTTAACAGCATCAGCCGAGACCACCACATGGATGGGACGCCAGTATTACGTATTTTTCACATACCGTGGTCTCTAAGTGCAGGCGTAGGGCTTCATCTGTGCTCGGTGAAAGATGTTTCAAATCTAGGGGGGAGGGTGTAGCTCAGTGGTGGAGCGCATGCTTAGCATCCATGAGGTCCTGGGTTCAATCCCCAGTCCCTCCGCTAAATAAATAAATAACCCTAATTACCTCCTTCTCCCCTGAAAAAGTTTCAAGTCTTCAAGAAGCCAGGACCTTGCATTTTGGATGATGTATTTAGGAGTGACGCTCAGTTGCCAGGAACAGGTGAGAAGAGAAGCCGTGACCTAGGTCAGGGTGCAGGCTTCTCTGAGGGGTCTGGTTGAGCAGGTGAGGGCTTTGCTCAGGTCACCTGTCCCAGGGCTCACTCCACTTTCCAGCTGCCCTGCCCTTTGCCGTGGTTTCCATGGTACCCAACGTGTCCTCAGGGTCATAGGTGACTGCTGGTGCCTCAGAGTTCCAGGCTGGAAGATGGAAGAGGGGAGGCCTTCCCTTCACAAAAGTGCCCACAGCACTCAGCCTTATCAGAAGTGTGTCACTAGGCCATCCCTATCTGCAAAGGAGGGAAAATCGGTTTTCTATAAGGCACATTGTAACCCCAAATAAAGGGTGGGGGAGCGGATGCTGGACTGGAGCCTGGAGTCCTGCTGGTTAACCACCACAGGACCTGTGTGTGTCCCCCTCCAAACAACAGAGGACACTCAACAGGAGGACACTCCTGCGGTGCCCCTCGACCCACAGGCCACCCCCGTCCCCCCAGGGACTGGCCCAAGGGCGTCTCCTTGGCAGTCTTCACCAGAAGCAGACAGCAGTGCGGCTGGCTCCTCAGGGCACCGCTGTCCCCTCCCATCTGTCCACACAACCACAAAACACACCAGCGTGCCCTAGGCCACACCAGATTTGTTTCACGTCGATCTCATGAGTTACACTGAAATGCTGACTTGCAAAGCCAGGTCGGAGGTGAGGGAGGCCGGCTTTCCTGGGAGCCCACCACAGGCAGGCGCTGCTGTTCCTTCACCCCAGGCCTCCTGTCGTGGCCGCATTCCTCCCAGCCCAGCCCTGCAGCCACTCATTGGTCTCCGTCCAGGGGTCTCTTCTGGAGGATGGTACAATGGGACCACGCCGTCTGTGGGGGACAGGGCACACTGTTTATCTACTGGCTCACCCAGGGACACTGGGGTCACTTCCAGTTGTGAGCGGCAGTGAATGGAAGGTGAGCAGGCTTCTGTAGCGGTGTGGGTTTTCAGGGCACTGGGCTGCCCAGCGACTCACCAGGGCCCCCCGGGGGGCAGGAAGGAGGGGGGATTGCTTGTAACAGAGCCGGGAAAGAAGCCTGCAGTTGCGGGTGACGGGCGCTGAGGACGACCGGTCTCCAGTGAGAGTTAACTTTCTGGCATCCAGGGAACAGAGGAGCGGGCTGCGGTATTTGCCCCCAAGAAGAGTTTCCAGAAGAGCCAGCGCCTCTGCTCCGGAGGCAGGTAGGCGGCCTGGGAACTGAGGGAGGGGGAGGAGTGACCGGCATGGCCCCTAGGAGTCTTCAGGGGGTCGGTGCCCATGTCCTCACTGCGCCGTCAGCGAGGTCAAGGGAGCCTTTTCAGTCTGAACAACCCCGAGTGAGGACCTCTATGTGCAGTGAGGAGTTACACCCGCCACCGGCACCTGCCCTTTTTCCCAGGGGACCTGATCTCTGCTTAAGCGGGCTTCCCGGGGCGGCGCCGTGGCCTCCATCTGTCTACAGACACGCTCACTCTGTCAGGGCAGTAGGTTTATTGATACTACGTCATCACACGTGGGTTCCAGTGGCTGCGACTGGTTTTCACAGACCGGGACGGGACTGGTCTCAGGAGTTCCCGTTTAGACAACGAATCCCTGCAGGTTTTCACCATCCCAGTAAGAGTGGCCTGAGCCACGGTGCAGGGCTCCCACCTGGCTGGACTCAGGCCTGACAAGTGGACGTCCGCGGGGTCCACGTCACTGGAGGACAAGGTGAGAACTAGGAAACACACAGGGAGACCCAGGCCCGGAGGCAGGAGCAGAAGAGAGCTGGCCTTTGGGGCCAGGCGCACCCTAAGGGCCAGACACCTCTCCCCGGCACTGCCGCCTCCACCGGTGGATCTGCCCAGACACCCTCGGACTCACTTGCGTGGGCACCAGCTCGCCCAGTGCTGCTCTGGGGTCTGAGGCACCACAGGAGCAGGCGAGGAGGGGGCTCAAAAGGGTTTGGTTCTTAACCTCCGGGGTCAGAGACCTTCACAGTCAGACTGAAGTTATGGATTTGAGCATCAAAACAGGTGCTCAAAAGCTTCACCCCAGTGTCCTCTCCAACCCAAAGCACATCCGCAGTCACCGTGCCCCGACACCCCTCCACCCCCACCTCCCCTCCCCAGCCCCCGACCTCTGGTGGCCCCCCGCACCCACCTCCCCCGGCTCCCATCATCTCCCTCTGCCCCCCCTAGCTCCCCCATGGGCCTCTTCATGTTCTGTGTCCTGGGGGGCTGCCCTCTAGGGGCTGCCTCACTGAACTCTTTCCTCCAGGTTTGCAGTTCAGCTCATGGAAGACTCCAGAAGGAGATGGGAAGGAGGAGGAGGAGGGTCCGGCCTGGGTGGTCCAGCCCTGCAGGTGTCAGTCCCGGGAGGCGGGGTGCTGCCCCCTGCTGGCCCCGAGCACCCCCACCCACCCATGGCTGTGCCCTCTGCCGCCCCTCATGCTCCTGCTGCAGGAGAGGGAAACAGAGGCCAGTCCAGCTCTGGAGACGGAGCCCGGGACTCACTGGGGGCAGGCACTGGGCCAGGATGCCGCTCTGGGGAACGCACCGGTGCCTGCTGAGCTCACTCAGCCTGATGCAGCACTTACTTCGGCACTCGCTGTGCTTCAGGCAGAAGTTCCCCCTGGGCTGGGAGGCGGAGGGCAGTGGTCAGACGGGTCGGCCCAGCCCGCCCCCCCGTCCCGCCCCCGCAGGCCCGCACCTTGCGCCAGGGCAGGCACTGCAGGAAGAGCGTCCTGGCCGTGCAGAACGTCTGCAGTCTGTAGCTGTTGGTGGTGCAGCAGCCGCTCTGGCACTCCGAGTGGCCCTGGCAGGAGTGCCCATTCGGCTGCAGAGATGGAGACCCAGTTCCTCCTGCCAGGCCCCCAACCTCCCTGCAGGGCCGCCCCCTCCCCACCGCCTCCACGCACCTTCTGCCAGGACCGGCACTGCTGGAAGACGTTCCGGGGGGTGCAGAATTTCTGGGGGCTCAGGCTGTTTGTGACGCAGCAGCTGCTCTGGCATTCCTCATGTCTCTCACAGGCCTCCCCGATCCGCTGCAGCAAAAAACGGAGGCAGGAGGGTCCACAGAGGATGATGGAGGCGGTGGGGCCCAGCAGCAGGTGGGAAGCAGGGCTGAGGATGAAGCCTCCGGCCCCCTTCTCCCCTCTCACATTTTACAGGTGAGATACTGAGGCTCAGAGAGGGTAAGTGACTGGCCCAGGAGCACAGAGCCAGCAAGGAGCCCAGGCCCAGGCCGGCCACCTGCTCACCTCCTGCGAGGGGCCTGCCCTCAGTTCTCAGAAATGTGGTCTCCGAGCTCCTTTACAATCTCAAAATTACTAAGGCCCCAGAGAGCCACTGTTGTGGGTTATACTGTTGTAAGAGACCACAGCTCTCACCGGCTGAGAGTTAAGTCCCTGAGCTCAGATGCTGGAGGCCCTACAGGTGAGGAACAAGGACAGAGGAGGGAGCCCACCTCTAGGGTGGGGCTTGGGACTGTGGGGGCCCAAGGGGAGCACCCCCTGGTTTCTGGGGGACAGACTTGGAGAAAAGAAACAGGAGGGCCCTGGCGGAGGGGAGCCCACCTGGCAGGGCGTCTGCGCCCCCCCCCACCTCCTGCATCCTCGCTGTGCAGGGGGCCCCATGAACCAGGCAGGATCCAGGAGTGACACAGAGCCAGTCCACAGGACAGACGGAAGATCACGTGGTCCTTGCCGTCACACCACAAGGCGCTCGCTGTCAGCCCCACCTGTGCACCCACTGGCCCTGCCTTCCCCCTCACCTCCTCCTCCACGCCTGCCCCGGCCACTCTCTCCCTCCGTGCTGGGTTCCCCGAGCAGCTTCTGTGCCAGGCGGCAGGGACCAGGTGGCAGGAGGGGGCGGGAGGAGAAGGGGCACAGAGCCCCAGGGGCAGGAAAGGGGCCTGGGTTCCCACCAGCGTGGGCTGTGGCCTGGCAACGGGAGACGTGGTGCTTACCTTGTAGGACTGTCCCAGGCCCTCTCTCCTCCACGCCAGGGACGCGGGCAGCAGGCAGAGCAGCAGCAGCAGACGCCTAGCGCTGGCCATGGCTGCAGCCCTGCCTGTGGGTGCCCAGGGTGTCACGGGGTGCCCCACCCGAATCGTTCTCCACCAAATGGATTCTTCAAACTTAGTGGGGAGGGTGTGGCTCGGGGCAGAGCGTGGGTTTAGCATGCCTGAGGTCCTGGTTCAATCCCCAGTACCTCCGTCAAAATAAATACACTTAGTTACCCTCTACCCACAAAAAAAATACATAAATAAACAAGCACTTCAAAGTCTATTTCAACATGGGTATGAGAACAGTGTTTTAAACTTATCCTCAGAAAAGTGTGCCTGTGGAGCTGGGACACTACCTATCAAAGGTGCGTGCCACAGGCAGGCAGACTGCCAAGCGCGAGTCTGCAGGTCTCCCCCGGCATGGAGAGCCTCGCAGCTCAGCGGGTGCGCGGGCCTCTGGGCAGCCCATCCAGTCTGCTCCGAGGCTTCGCCAGGCGCCCCCAGCCCACACTTCCCTGGCCCCGGTCCACCCAGGCTCCTCGCCCTCCACTCAGAAGCAGCTCTTGAGTTTCATCGCATCTCCAGAATGGAACCCAAGACACACTTTCTGTCCTGGGAGACGGAATCTACAGACAGATAGCAGCCTGGAGTGGCCATGCTGGGAAGGAGACCACAGCCTCTCTGTCGGCCCCAGACACCAGCACTGGGTTAGTAACCGCAACCCCACCTCCAACTCGGACCAGCCAGAGGAGCCAAGTGTGCCCCTAACCAGTCACAGTCCCCTGGGCTGCGTAACAAACATCACAGACAAGCGCGGCCTGCAGCCTGGAGGCGCAAGTCCTGGATCAAGGCGTGGACAGGGCTGTTCCCGCTGAGGCCTCACATGACCAGTCTGCAGGTGTCCGTGCCCTGATCACCTCTACCTCATTTTACCTTCATCACCTCTTTAAAGACCCCATCTCCACAGACAGTTACATCCTGAGGTCCTGGGCTAGGACTTGAACATATGGATTTGGGGGACACAGTTCCACCCTTAAAAACCCCCCATGTCTAGTCAGTCAAAGGTCTCAGAGGCCGCTAACCACATGATTCAAGAAAGATGGCAGCAAACAATGAATCACATTAATGGTTTCCAAGATAAACAGCAACCACGTAGCCATTGTACGAACTTTGTAAACCCTGTTCTATATCATATCAAATCTGTCACTAGGTTATAGCTATGTAAAAGCTGTATCTGAATCACAACTTGAACATTTCAAAATTTCAAACTTGTAGTGTTCTTTTTTTTTTTACTTTAACCCGGAAAAACCCATTTTCTTGTCTCAAACCTCCAGGCCCTTAGGAAGTTTACAGGCCCAGTTTACAGAGTTGGGCACGATGTGCCTGACCGATCGAAGAGCCCGCCCAGCATGGGAACACGCTGTGCCCCGTGGAGACATCCAGTTTCTGGAAGGTCACAGCCCACCTGTGCTCACGGCCCAGCACCCACAAGAGCCAAGAGGTGGGAGCAGGTCAGGTGTCCACCCAGGGATGGATGGACAAGCAAGACGCGGCCCATACGCACAACAGATTATTCCCCTTCAAAAGAAAGGCTGCTCTGACGCCGGCCACACACGGATGAACCTTGAGGACGTTCTCAGCCAACTGAGCCAGACACAAAAGGATCCCGCTCCTGTGAGGTCCCCAGGGGAGTCAAGTCCACAGAGACCGAGACAGGGTGCTGGTTTCCAGGGTCTGGTGGAGGGGGTTAGTGTTTCACAGGGACGGGACAGTGTTTCAGTGTGGGAGGATGAGTGTCTTGGAGAGGGCTGGTGGGGATGGTCACCTGACGGTGCAACTGCACTTAATGCCACTAAGCTGTGCCCCTAAAAATGGCTGAGGTGGTAAATTGTTCATTGTGTGTATTTTACCATAATTTAAACAAAGACCACAGACCTGCCTCTAGGGGCCCTGGAGGCATAGCTTGCAGAATCATGCATTCACAGCCCCTGGTTATTTGGAAATAGTCTCCTATGTAGGGTCCCCTTTATTGGATATTTGCTTATAAATCTCTCAGATCAGGCACCTTTCCCCATTTTGGCTTTTTCCAAATGTCACTGTCAGGTATGATTCCATAGTATCTCAATCTGCCGAAAGCAGCTTGATGCCAAATCTTGCCCCAAACTTGACAAATCCCAGGCAATTAAATTACACGACAAAACCATAGTGACCATATCTGGGGCATGAGCTTCTCATGTCAGTGGTGACCTTCCCTGCCTCTGGCACTCTCTGACATGGGTCCCGAGCAGGCCGCCCGGCGTACTCCCACACAGAGGGACAAACACGCCAGTAACCGTGTGATGTTTCTGACAGGAAAACTACCTCTGGCAGCTGCTAGTGGCTGAAGGAGTCAGCGGTCCTACCTTTGAATCTTGGGTCCCACCTGCTCCTCTGTGGAGACTGAGGCTGGCCAGGCTGTGGCTTCCAGAAAACACTCCAGGGAGCCCAGGGTGGAGCTGTGGCAGAATCACTGGAGCATCTCCCCGGCCTCCGCTTCTCTGTCTTCTGTCCCCGCCTTCACTCTCACAAGGAAGTCTCACCGCCTTCCGCGGGAGAGACCACACGCTCGGGGCAGTGGCCAGGCCACCCGTGACGCAGGGTGCAACCACAGTCCCAGGGGCCAGCTGCAGCCTCTGTCAGCCCAGATGGCCAGCACGGGGCCAGTGACCACAGCTTCTCAACTCAGGACCTGCCAGAGAGGCCAAATGTGGCCTCTAGCCCATTGCTGTGTCCCCCTACCCTGCTCAGCCACCCCGCCCTCCCCACCAGCATCCCCCTCAGGCGCCCCTGGAGCCGACCTCTCTCACTCAGGGTCCCCACCCGCCTGCCTGGGCGTCTGCCAAGCCCTGGCTGTTTGTTCTCACAGGGGTGGTCTGCACGCATTGCTCATTCAACTCACGTTTATTGACCTACCTATTATTGACTGCATGCTGGGCTCTACGGAGGGAAAGATGTGTGTTGTTTCCACTGCACCCCATGGCCCTGACCTTGCCACCTAGGAAAGAGTCTTTGGTCTAGTTTGGGAAATGGACCTGCCAGCAAAGTGTGGAAGGTGCCTTTAGGGGAGGGTGAGGATGCTGGGGGGAGGACGAGCTTCTCCAGGCGGGGTTCCCCAGGTGGCAGGAGAAAGCTCCAGGCAGAGGGGGGAGGACGGAGCCTGGGTGTAGGCGGCAGTGGGAGGATCAGGCCCTTTCCTACCATCGGGTACGAGAACCCCAAGAGCAGAGAGGGTCCCAGAAAGCAGGGGGCACAACTCAGGGCAGGATGAGAGATGGTGCTGTGGGGATGCGGCTGCGAGAATCAGGACCAGGTGCTGACTGGGTGTGGGAGCCAAGGGCACAAGGCACCCAGGACAACTCCGGGTTTGGTGCCGGGCTGTGAGGGGTTCAGTAGGCGACCACTGCCTCACAGACCCCAAAAGTCAGTGGCCCAAAGGGCAATTTGTTATTGTCTCTCCGGGTCTGTGGGTTGGTTGGGCTCAGTTCTTACTTGGAGTCATGTGGCAAAGGCCAGTCAGGTGATGGCCGGGCTGGCAGGTGACCTAAAGATGTGGCTTCTCCACCCGCACATCCTTGATGGCTGGAACAGCTCACAGCATGGCGGCCTCAAGTGGGGCCACCCCTCCTTGGGGCTGGCTGCTCCTGAGTCTCTGAAGGACCTAGCCCAGGAGTCAGCACCACTTCCAGAGACAGCCCGGGTCAGTATCTGAGCCAGGGTTGAGTGTCTGAGAGCTGAGGACTGAAACCACAGCAGGGGACATGAGGAGGAGGGAGCTGGGAACGGAAATGGGGTTTCTTATAGGGGTGATAAAAATATTCTAAAACAGATCTACAAAGCTATAGTTAATCCAAACAGTGTGGTGCTGGCATAAGGATACCCAGATAGAACAATGGAATAGAATAGAAACTCCAGAAGTAAGTTCTATATCTATGATCAGCTGATTTTCATTACAAGCACGACCCTTCAATGGGTAAAGAATAGTTTCTTTAACAAGTGGTGCAGGGACAACTGGACATCCACATGCAAAAGAATGAAGTTGGAGGGCTACCTCACACCAAAAGCAAAAGTTAACTCAAAATGGATCGACAATCTAAACATAACAGCTTAGGGGAGGGCATAGCTCAAGATAGGGAGAGTTATCTTGACAGAGCTCATGCTTAGCATGCAGAAGGTTATGGGTTCACTCTCCAGTACCTCCTCTAAAAATAAATAAACCTAATTACCTCCCCTCAAAATAAATAATACAATAAAAAATTTTAAATATATAAATATAACAGCTAAAGTCATAAAACTCTTAGAAGAAAACAAGGGTAAATCTTCCTGACTTTGGATTTGGCAACGGTTTCTTAGAAATGACACCAGAAGCACAAGCAAAAAAAGGAAAAAAATAGATAAATTAGACTTCATTAAAATTAAAGACTTTTGTTCACCAAACGTCATTATCAGTAAAGTGAAAAGTCAGCCAACAATGGGAGAAAATATTTAAAAATCATATACCTTATAAAGATCTAGTATCCAGAACACAGAGAGAATTCTTACAACTGAACAAGAGACAACCCAATGCAAAAATGGGCAAGGGACTCGACTAGGCATTGATCCAAAAAATTACACAATTTCACCCACTAGGATGGCAATAGCCAAATGAGTGGAAAATAACAAGCATTGACAAAGAGGTGTAGAAGTAGGAACTGTTGTTTATTGCTGATTGGAATGCAAAGTGATTCAGCTGCTTGGAAAACATTTTGGTGTTTCCTCGAGAAGTTACACACGGAATCACTATACGAACCAGAAATTCCACTGCTAGGCATATACCCCAAAGAATTGAAAGTAAGTGTTCAAACAAATACTTGCACACGAAGAGCAGCACTAGCCACGACAGCCAAAACTTAAAAGCTCAAACGTTTATCAGCAGATGAATAAACTGTGGACGATCCACACAATGGAATACTATTCTGCCATAAAAAGGAAGGGAAGACTGACACAGGCTACAACCCAAATGGACCTTGAAGACTTCATGCTAAGTGAGAGATGTCAGACACAAGAAGGCAAATATTCCACGATTCTGTGAATTCCCCTGCAGGGTATATTCCCCTGATGCGTACGGGGTTTTATTTGGTGATGATTGAAAGTAGACAATGGTGGTTGTACAACATTGTGAACGTACTAAATTTCACTGGATTGTTCAACAAACAGTTGTTCTTTAAAACAGTTAATTAAATGCCATGTGAATTTCATTTCAAAAAAGTCTAAAACATTGATCATTTTGGGAAATGCTATGATGTCTGGGATTTGCTCCAGAATACAGAGATGGGTGTGGAGATACAAAAAGAAGAAACAAAAGAAAAACAAACCTTTGGCTTGCAAAGGGGGTGGGGAGTGGGAAATGGATCGAGGCGTACAGTCGGGAGCCACTGTGGAAATCCAGGTGAGAAAGGAGGCTGGGCGGTTGGGTGGAGGAGGAGCCTGGAACTGAAGGCCCTGACACGTATCTGTAGATAAAAGCAAGAGAGCTGTTTGGGCCGAGGAAGGGATCCAGGTTTTTGTCTGGACCCTGGAGGCGGGGTTGCCTTGGGAGATCATCTCCTTGTACACCTTCCATTTACACAACTTCACGTCTATTGTATCTCAATAAAAATGGGAACGACGTACACATACTTTTTAAAAAGGGATTGCTCCTCGGGGTTAATGCGCGGTGCAGATCAGACGCCGGTGGAGACGCTGGGAGGGGGCGGTTCCCGGTTTCCTCCCGCG